GATGGTGGCTTGCAGCCACCATGGAGCACATCAGAGTGGAGCTAGAGGGATTGATGGAGCGGATTCCGCAGCGGTGCTGCGGGGGCACGCGACCGTGCTCGCCGGTGTTGAACCAAAAAATGACGGAGGGAGCGGGGGCGCGCTGCCGGGCTCGCCAGCGTTGAGCCAAAAAAAGGATGGAGGGAGCGCTTCTACAACCGAAGGGGCACATATTAATCACATCCTAAAAGTATTTGACTATAAGTAATCTTCCATAACTAAATACTCACGTTGTTATTGGCAGACTGGCTTCTACAACTGAAGGGGCACATATTAATCACATCCTAAAAGTTTTTGACTATAAGTAATTTTTTTACCATTAGTACGATGAACCCTATACTTGTTACTAGACTATAATCGCTAGATCTTTGTAAATGAACCAAATAAATCAAATCCAATGATAATCATAGTTATAACTAAAGATATATGTATTTTAATTTAAATCATCATACAACAGAGAAAAGAGAGGCACATTAGGAATTCTGGTCATCAATATGGTGGAGCATCCTTTTATTACGATATATACTACATGCGATTAATCTTCGTTACCACACCTAAACATGCCACAATCAATAAGCACCCCTATACATATCATACTTAATATATCCTCGTAATCATCTACCAACATACATACTTTTAGATTATTATTTGGACTACACACAATATAACATGCTACTATAAGTTACAAATGTTACAGATGATGATAGTTACACAAATCCAAACCTGATACACTCAATCAAAATCGACATTGATCCATGTAGTACCTAACCTTATATTGTGTAGATGATTGTGAGGCACCCGCACTGCTGCACAAGCACCAGTAGAGAAATATCCAAGTAGTGTTTGTCTACAGTGCCAAGACGACCGGTGCTACTAAATAGTGTTGACAGATTGAATTAATTTTGTGTTGTCATGGGAGTAAGGTTACATGTGTTAAAAGACATGCTACAATTAGTGACTGGTTCTAGAACTTTGTTCAAGCCTTAGTGTCACATGACATGAAAAATACATGCGAATTGGAGTGTGAAATGCTATGATGGGAGAGTTGACCGTAACACGCACAAAGTGATCAGGATTAGTGGAAAATAAACTACAAATATTAATGGAAGATGTTTCAAAAATCTTGTGGTGTACCTTTTCACTTTGATATTGAAAATAAATAAATTAATGAAGCAAGCTGACATATATAATTAAATTTGTGTAGAAAATATATCTTGCTAACTTATCATTCATATAAAAACAATATTCAATGTTGTATTTTGGGGTCCATGTCTATGTCCAAATATAACTACCGAATGCACATCGAGTATGTTTGATTGGAGAGAGTAGATGAGAAGACTTGATGAAAAGGTACATGTAAAGTTTTAACAATTCATGTCTCCTATCCTATCAATGGGGATACATTATTTTTACTTAATTTATTAAGGAACTTATTCCATTAGAAAGATCATCCAAAAATTCAAGATCCATACAGTGTCATTGTTTTTAACCATAATTTCTCTATCTAAAACTACATCTTCCTAATAGTATTCACATAACAAGATATTTGCTATAGTACAGATGGCCTCCTAAAAATATAGTAACGCCAGAAAATCCTAACACAATGAAGTCCTTGATGTTATATAGAATAAAATTATGCTTTGAGCCATTATTAATAGATTAGAATGGCATTTTCATAATTGCACACAACACATCCTAGTGAACCATAATTGATATGTCTTTGTAAGTTTATCAAAGCAACATTTGACCATTGTTTTGATGAAACACTCATTATTATTTGCATCATAATATACAGATTTTTCGTAAGTCCGAATCTAATACTAGTGACCACCAATATATATTTTATCGCCATGCACTCATCTATCACAACATACAAAATAGCAAGTTAGCTCATGATCTGAAGTTTAATTCTCGTGTAGTGATCTAGTTGTATGTAAAGGCAACACTACATCTGATCAATAGTATATGGTGTTCTTGCAAATGACATAATAATTTACCGCTCGCACAAATTGAAGACGTTAAAGATGTTTCCATTATGATATTTTATTTAGGATAACTTTGGGATAGTTATATAACCATATTATTTATTGTTAGTGATATAAATGTATGTGTATGAATTCTTAAGTTGATTTGTATAATACTTTTCAGTGTGCTAAAAATAATGCCCTCACAGCTGCAAGGACCATCTTGCTAGTTATTATTAACAATATCTTAAATAGTGTATTTTACTTACAAGAAGAATCAAGTAAATCCAAAATAATTGTAAATTTATAATTATATGACAGTCAAATTTCTTTAGCATTTTTATCATCAAAGAATATCCTTATAAGAAAATAGAGTGAATTATGAACTCATCACATATCACAAAGACAAGCACACGAAAATACATGTGGCCAAAAGCACATCTCGTGTCGAGTGCATTGTGGTTTGGCGATTTTTATACACACATACTTGGACGTGTACTGAATCCAAAGCGGAGTCAACATTACGTGCTTCCTATAATCTTCACAAGGCAACCTTTATTAGTATTTCAACCTAAATTGGCTCGTAGTCCTACTACCGCTTGGGAACACAAACGCAAGTGCTAACAGGTCTCACACACTGCCAAGTCCAGATCAACTTAAACGGGCTAGCTACCTCAAACTAATATGGAAACTAACCAAGCTCACCTCCTTGAGGATTTGTAAAACAGGTACAAATTCAGAAAAAATGACCTGGTTGGAAATTTGACATTCGCCAAGAGATTTGGAGAGGGCACTGTTGTTCCACTTGTTCTTGACTGGTCAATTAGCGACGGGAGATGCCCACCGGTGCCGCAGGGTGTTGACAAGGCAAATATTGATCCCAACGGCGCATGTGTTAGCACCCAGAGCTACTGCGTTAATGCTAGCAACAGCGCGACGGGCTATTTCTGCAACTGCTTCGAGGGATACACCGGCAATCCATACATAAAAAATGGATGCAAGAGTATGTACACTTCCCTGCTCATTTGATGTTATTATCTGAAGGAACTTCATTTTTTTCATTTATATTTGTTGCTACATTTGTGTATTCCTCTCACCACATTGAGCATTTTTAAATTTTTAACATATCCTTTGGATTTGAACATAGACAGTCTGCCGAGAAAGATTTCGGATCTCAGGAATATTTAGTACTCATTTGCTCTCTCACTATTTGCAAGCACATAGAAACCTATAAAGTAATTAATACTAACTTATGTTTATGTTTTCCATTAATATGCTCTGTTTTTTCATAAATTTTCAGATATTAATGAGTGCTTAAATAAGAACATGTATCCTTGTCATGGAGGGAGATGCCACGATTTAGAAGGTGATTACGAGTGTAAATGCAATTTTGGACGACGGGATGACGGTAACAAGGGGTGTGAACCCGTATTGTCCAAGGCTGCAGTAGCAGTTATAGGTGAGGCATTGTATGTATGCCCTATGTAGTTTCTTAATGCTATAACATATGAAATTCCACATTCTAAAATATATCTCTATTTCACTGGATTTTAACACCTAGTAGTTTTGTACATGTACTATATTATTCTGTGAAAAGTTAAAAATTACAATTGTTCTAAAGTTTGCGCAAATAACATCTGTTTGCACACAGGAACAATCATTGGCATTGCATTACTCGTGGTGCTACTCATATTCTTACTCATGGAGCGAGAGAAAAGAAAGCTGAGAGATAGGTTCAACAAGAACGGCGGACAACTAGTCAAAAGCATCAAGATCGAGATCTTCACCAAGGCAAAGATCAGATACATGACAAACAACTATACTTCTATCATCGGCCAAGGCGCTTTTGGGACAGTCTACAAGGGAACCACCAGCTCCGGTGAGAACGCAGGTGTTGCCGTGAAGAAGTCCACCGCTATCAAGCATGACTGGCAGAAGGAGTCCTTCGCGAACGAGATCAGGATCCAGTCCCAGATCAGCCATCGGAACCTGGTCCAGCTTATAGGCTGCTGCCTGGAGACAGACGTTCCTATGTTGGTGTACGAGTTTGTTCCTAGGGGAAGCCTCTATGACGTGCTCCATCTCAAGAACGACCCTCTTCCCCTCGAGACACGCCTCGACATTGCCATCTACTCCGCGGTTGCCCTCGCATACATGCACACGGAGGCGAGCCAGAGTATGGCCATCGTTCATGGCGATGTGAAGTCAGCTAACATCCTCCTCGATGACAGGTTTGTGCCAAAGGTGTCAGACTTTGGCACGTCGAGGCTCATGTCCATGGACAAGGACCATCACACCAACTTGGTGATCGGGGACCCGGGCTACATTGACCCCGTGTACGTGAAAACCGGGCTGCTCACCAAGAAGAGCGATGTGTATAGCTTCAGTATCATCCTGCTGGAGCTCGTTACCCGTAAGGAGGCGATTTACAATGGAAATCAAAGCCTTCCCATGGATTATATCAAGGCTTCCATGGAAGGGACAGCGAGGCAGATGTTTGATAAAGACATTGTGGCAAATAGCGAGGAGCATATGGAGTGCCTCGAGGAGGTTGGCAAGATCGCGCTGCAGTGTCTCAATGAGAACAACGTGAATGACAGGCCCACCATGGGTGAAGTCGTGGACAGACTTAAAGCGTGTAAGAGCCAGTGGTTGGAATGTCATTGGAAGAAAAATGAGGTGATGTAAATATTGTACATAGGTAGTTGGTGGCCTTATGCGATCGAGGGCATCACCTTTTATAAGATGAGAGTTTAAGAATACGGATTTGCTAATTCTTGCCTAGACGAGATTTAGTTATGTCACATCTATGTTCTCCACCACTCAATTAAGGTGCTGTAATTTTCATCCAAATTGTTGATCGCTCTTTTTTTTTTGCGGCTGAAATGAGCTGGCATTAATTAAGTAATGTTGTTACACTCGTTTTCACAAATATGACAGAGATCGTCAGGCCCAAACAAAAGCCAAACTATAAAACGCTGGGTGATTCGTCCCATTTGAGCCATGCAATCAGCGGCTCTATTGGCTGATCCTCGGACATGAACGAATCTGAATGCATGGCGCCGTCTCCCATGCAGGAGCTGCTTCGTCTCCTCCACCAGTCCCGCTAGCGCAGACCTGTTGACGGTACTGTCCATCAGGACATCCATTCCTGCTTTGCAAATTGCAATCCAGTTCGACGATGATGGGCTTCTCTGTTCGCTGCAGCGCCAGGGACGTACCAGCGAGATACGCTGTCATTTTCGCCTCCATTGCGGAGCGACATGATCGAAGAAAATGATATGCTGAAAAGATGATGGCCCCCTTGTTATCCCTTAACACCATGCACGCGTCCCGTGTATCCTCGCCATGGACATATGATCCATCGACATTAGAGCAACTCTAGCAGACCCAGCTTCCTTCCGACCCACAAAATATTTTTGCAGTTCGCGAAAAAACATCTTTGCGGGCCGGCGCGGACGGCTGTAGTTGCAGACCCCGCATAATGAACCCGTAAAAAAGGATATTCCCAGAATATGCTTTTTTACGGGTTGGGGTTGCGGCGTCTGATCTGGCGCAGCTCCTCCCGACCCGCAAAACTTAAATTTGCAAATTAATTTGATCTAGCATATTGCATTGCTTTGCTTTATTAACAACATTAGATACAAAAGGCATCACCAAATTTTTGCTAGAATAGTAAGACCAAAGAAAACAAGAACTACAAGTATGCATTTTAGAAGATTTCCAACTTCCATAACTGCTCCCACTAGTTGGACTAATATCTTCTCCATGCATTCCTTGTTGATCTGTGGATTCTTGATTTTGCATTCTTCTTTCTTCATCTTTGGTTCGGAAGAAGTATATGTTGCTTCCCCTCTAGTTGCACATGCAACCGCATCATTGCCTTCGATTGTACTAAGGAGTGCACTAACATTTATTAAGTTTCTTTCTATCAACAAATCAATGTATTGCCCTTCCCAAAACCAAAATGAGCATCCATCGTCCTACACAAAAGAATGAGCAATCTCGAAGTGAGCCACCAAAATTGAACTAAAGAATGAACTATGAAACGAGCTACCGCAACTGCACGTACCCCGTCGTTTTCGCATATGAAGAACACCCATCCGTGGTGCTTCGGCGTGCTCGAAGTCAGCCGCAGCACTTTCCGCGTGCAGTGGTCGCACTCTATGAGCGGCATCGGCAAGCCACAAAGACGCTGCGCGAGCGCCGAGCCCGGTGGACGGCCGTACGAGTCCATGCCCGCAAACCTTCGGCGGCGGCGGGCGGATGAACTCGTACCTCCATGCAGCGATGCGCCCTTGCCTGGGCTGCGGGAGAGACTCCCCGAAAACTCCATCGCTTGGGGCAGCAACCGGCGACCGGAAAAAGCCAAATCCGGCGGCCCGCCGACGCAGGAGGGTAGGGAGGGGAGGCCTTGTGCGCGTGGCGGCCTTCCGGCGTGCTCCTGCCCGCTGCGTTCGCCGGAATCTTGGGCGGCGGGCGGCGGCGGTGCGAGAGGGGAGAGGAGAGGTGGTTGGTGGGAGAAAGCACGCGGGATGAAATGTCCCCTCCACCAACCGCTTCCGCTTATATGCAGGGCACCGCAGCCGTGAGGGGGAACCCGCGTTTTCCCGGGTTCGGGTCGGGATTTTGCTGCACCCCCTAAATTTTTTTGCGGGCCGGGGCGGGATGCGGGGTCTGATCGGGCTGGTTTTTCCGCCCCGACCCGCATTTTGGAGGTTATTTTACGGGTCGGGGCGGGATGCGGGGTCTGCTAGAGTTGCTCTCACTACTGAAATCAGCTACTTTGCCATCTGTTAGTTCTTTGCCATCCGCTAGCGGACGGCAAAGAAGCTCTTTGCCATCAGCTTCCAAAAAGCGGACGGCAAAGATTCTTTGCCGTCGGCTAGCGGACGGCAAAGAGGGAGGGGCCCCACTGATGAGCTGCAAAAAAAACCTAACGGGCCCCCTCTTTGCCGTCCGCTAGCGGACGACAAAGAGCAAGAAGGCGGATGGCAAAGGGTGGCGGACGGCAAAGAGGGAGGGCCCCACGTAACGTTAACGGGGCCGCGCCCCACCCCCCCTCTCTCTCTCTTTCTCTCCCACCTCTCGCTAGCCCCGTCGCACCACCCCGCCGCCGCCGCCCCAGCGCCCC